CACCGCTTGGCATAGCTATAGTATTTTTCAGTCGTTTGCTTAGAGCTCCAAACGGGTTGTGATGTAATTAATATTCAGTCGCCGGCGCGCTCCGCTCCGGCACCTGCAGCTGGAGCGCCACGCCATGCCTGGCACAATGTCACGTTTCAAACTTTCCGACATCTCGTAAAATCTTTTGTCAGGGCCGTATTCTCAAATTCCTTCATTCGCAGTTTCACTCCGTAAAGCAAAGTTTCCTCGAGTCCCGTCACGACGCCCGCCGCCTTCGTTAGCGAGCGCCGCAGCCCCGGCGAAGGTGCGGCTGTATTTAGAACGGAAATGCGTGCATGCATGGCCTCTTGGAAAAACCTCCTCCCGCCCTCCAGGCCGTTGTCAAGCCGTCAAGGAAGCGGCGCCCCGGCGGTGGCAGAAAATAGACGGAGGCGGCGCAGTGACAAACTGAAATTTAAACCCCCCGGATGTGTTTCATTCTCGAATCACGCAGGTCTCAGTGCACTGTTGAAATCAGAGAAACAGTTTTAAAATCCGTGCTAGTTTTTCACCAAGCGCGGCCACCACTCATGTATTATGTGTGCAGAGTCCCTTAAACCCTTTCGAAATCATTTGAAATCCACCTGCGATCATGACATTTGTGTGATTTCTTCTAGTTTTAAGCGTGCAATCCTCTCTACTCTCAAACGTCATGTGAAGTCCGCCGCAAAATCCCGTGAAATCCAATCGTGATATTTTAAAGTACATCAAGATCTTTTGAAATTTTGATGAAATCTTATTGTGAAGTCCTCCGAAATTGAGGGCAATCCTTAGACCTTATATACCCTCCTAGACCTAATTTATCTACCTTGTGGTTCAGGGTTCAAGCACGAAATCTTCTAAAATACTAAGTGAAATCCTTTTAATTCTGCGGTGAAATCTAGCATTCCACGCAGTCGCGTTATGTGAAAAACCAAGGAGGGAGTGATTCTCCTCTCTATGAGAAAATGTTTACGTGACAGTGTGTTATTCTGAAGAAAGCCCAAAGCGAGGCCCAAAGTGCCCAAGCTTTTATTGCGTTTACAAACGCATCAACGTGTTGTTACTTAGCAACCTTCAGGTGTTCTCCCAGGGCTTGTTAACATTAAAGTGAAACTCAGATACATATAATATACGTGCCATGGCTCGTGTCGTCTAATTTAAGTTTAAAATATAACTTGACGAACCACACTAATCCGCAGGAGTAACGTGACGAACCACACTAATCCGGACAGTGTAAATTTGCAAAACTGCCATTCACTCAGCCGAGTCCGACTCCGCCCGTGTATGGGTGGGCCCCGGGCGAGGCCCCAGCTGGTCCTTATCCTTGGGTTCGTCTTGTCCACGCCCAAGTAGTTGTCTCCGGCTGCTTCCGGCGTGGCGTGCTTCACGCGGGGGCCGACGAGGACTGACGGGGACCCCTGGTGTCCACTCCCTGCTGATGACGGCTGTGTCTCGCGGCGGCCGCGCGGGGGTCCGGGCGACTCCTAGCGCGTCCTCCTGCAGGCTGTCTGAGTGACTCTCCCAGCGCGTCCTCCTTCGTTTTTTTTCGCTCGGTGCGCGGCGCGGCTCTCGCACGTTGCCGCCATAGTGGGTACTTGGGCCCTGACATGTGGGTCAATTGCACACGCCGCGCTGGCCGTCTGCCTGGCCAGGCCGCCCGCCCGCCCTGGCTGCCTGTCTGGCTGCCCGCCTGATCGTCCACAGCGGCAGTGTTCGTGATGAATGCGACGATCGTGGAGAAACTACGACAAAAGACGAGGAGGCTGAGGTGATGGGCCGAACACATGTTCAGACATCCCCGCCCCGCCCGCTCGCCTCGCGGCCCTACATCACCGATTCTTATCTGATTTCTTGGCGCGGCGGCCGCCTGGCTCAGGCCTATGGCCCCGCCCGGCTCGCCCGGTGGGGCCTCTGTTTCTTGCTCTCGTTCCCTCCCCCTCCCGCTCCCCCAGCGCTACTCATTAGACCACTATTAGCAGCGTTGGCCAGCCTTAGGGCCGCCTCTGCTGCACGAGGCACCCGGGAGGACGGGATTAAATGTCCATCACCAGCAGCACCACCTCCAGGGCACAGAACACTCGCGCGCCGGATGGCAAGGGTCGGCCAAGTGGCTTACTCTGTCTCTTCTCCTTGCAGCTCAAGATGCTCAGCGTGCTGATGCCCCCCTGTGCCGTCCAGGCCGCCGCCGTGGCTGCCGTCGCCACTGCCGTCCAGTGAGCTCGCCGTGAGCGCGAGTGCGTGTGAGCAGGACTTGTGACAGGGTGATGCCGCGCGCGCCGCGGCTGTAGCCAAGGTGTTCGCCATCAGCTCCTCGGAGGCGGACGCGGGCCTGGGCCTCGGCCTGGGCCTCGGCCTGGGCCGCGCTAGCCTCGCGCGGGGCCTCAGCGCGTCCCCGGCCTCCGCCACGCCGCCCCCGAGACCCTCTCCGCGAGCCTCTCCGTCCCCACGCGGGTCCCCTGCCCACCTGCCCTCGGGCCAGCCCGCCGGCCACCAGGCCAGCAACGCCACCTTCATGGTGCAGCCCGGCAGTAACAACAACTACACCACCGCCGACATGGAGTCCCTCGACGAGCTGCTCAACAAGGTATGACACGACTTATATTTGTGACCTTCCTTCAGCTGTTCATCATCGTAGTCGTCAATTATAATTCACCAGTAACGGATTTTTTGTAGCCTTTGGTTGGGCGCAAATGCGACTCAGGAACTCTCCTCCATTCATTAGACCTGCCGCGCTGTTCCGTGTTCGCGACTACCGCATCTGCGGGGAGTGCAGCCGCCGCTACCCCGACTCTCTGGGGCTTCCCTCCTGTTGCGGTCAGCGCGAAACAGGGCGCTGCCCTTGTCGTAGTCTATGGCCTGCTGTTACCCACCTCTGGCAACAAGTTTTGAGTCTTGTGCTTGTGGTCATATCCCCCCCCCCCCTCTCACTCTCCTCCCTGAAATCAGAAATACAGTGCCTGGAATGTGTGCAAATATATATATGTGTGTAGAGCGCGCCGCTGTGCTGAGCGGGGCAGTGGGTCGTAGGGCTGGGTCTTTATTTATTTGAGACATTGATCGCCTCCCTCCTCCCCTCTTGCCCCTTCTCTGCAGGTTCGTAACGGAGGGCCCCTCTCTTTCACATGTTCGCAAGTATGCCGGGGTCCATAGGAGGGTTGCGTAGGGGCTTGTTCAGTTTCGCAAATTAGTTTAGTTTTCTGCCAGGTTCTAGTCCCGCTTTCCCCCCTGCTGCCCCTTTCTACCTCATCCTGCTTTTCCGATTGTTAGTGACACTTAAAAGAGAAGTTTACTCTGGCGTTTGGCGCTGAGGGTGTTTCTGGCGGATCTGTTGCGGGAAGAGGAGAAAACAAAGTGGCAAAAAGAGTATTCCCTCGTCTTTTCCTAACTGACCTCGACCTGCTGCAGTATTTTTCTTTTTCTTGTAATAAAAAAAAGTTCCCAAATGTAAGATCCCTTCAAAAGAAATGCGTGTTCATGAATCCCCCTCCATCGTTCTTTCAGCCTTACTTTATTTCTTCTCTGCCCTTTCCCCTTGTACTGCTTTCTTTATACTCGCCTTGAGTCGACGCAGCCCCGTTCAGTTCACTTAGCATGGCCAGTTTTTGCCCGCCTCTCCCGCAGTGCCCGGTGCCCGCTTGCCGTCCGAATGGGCTGTTGTCGAAACGAATGGAATAATTGCCACCTAGTATCGACCGTGACCCTCCTTGCCTAGCCGACTGACCCACCCGGGCTGCGGGCTGCGGATAGATATTCCAGGGCGGCGGTCCCGCCCCATGCACTGCCCATTTAACTTTGTAGGGAGGGATGGATCCGGGGTGGCGCTGGCAAAACTCCAGTATAGCAGTGTGCAGTCTGACCGCGTGGGGAGGGGGAGGCGGGGGCTGCCGGCGCCATGGCTTTTGGCGAGCCTAGTAACTTTGGGCAGCGCCCCTGGCCGGCCCACCGCCCACCCCCAGCAGGTGAGTCCATCAAGACTTCGTCCAACAACTCCCTCCCGAGCTTGGCTGCGGCTCGCGGGAGGAAACGCACCGCTCAGCCAATCGGGGGTACGTCTGGCGGGGTCTGGCGAGGCGCGCCGAACCGGCCCCCTTTTTGGCAACGGAACCACAAGTTTTGTTTCCGGCGACGTTAGCGACTCGGTGTGCCCGCCCAACTCCCTGTCCCGGCTCCTCCCGCAAACGCCCCCCAGCCGCTGCGGGCCCCCACCTTCGCTAACGTTTGGGGCCCGGGAAGTGTTCCCCTTTGTTATTTGAGGACGTTGGCGGGGCGGGGCGAGGGTGGACCTCCTTGGCCGGAAGCCGGAACGGGGCGGCGCTGCGGTATAGAGGCGCCGCGCCTGCAGTGCCCCTGCGGGTGGTGGCGCTGCGGGTCGCCCTGGGGGTCGCCTTGGGGGTAGCCCTGCGGGTCCCCTTCACGTCCCCACGGGGCTCCCCGCGGCCTGGCATCCGCCGGATGGACGGCACACATCCGACCCGTGCCGCCGAAGGTGACGATGACGATAGGGGAGCGGGGAGCGTGGGACGGCGGCGGCCGACTCCTCGGAGCAGTAGGCTGATCTGGACGGCGTGCGGCACGGCGACGTTCCCCCCTTATCCCCCTCCTCACCCACTCACACGCACACATGTGCTGGGTGACTCACAAGGTGAAAGGCCCAGCGACACGACGACCACGACGGCGCTTCGGCAAGACTAAACCGCACGCCTGTGTGGGCCGGCTGCTGTTGGTTTTGGGTCCCCCCCCCCTCCTATGAGCCGCGACACCCCCGCCTCATCCTCATCCTGAGGCACACAGCTCGCCGCCGCGTGTGAATGGCGCCAGAGCCCTGTGTGGTCCACGCCCCGCCCCGCCCAGCCAGGCCCCTCCCGGACCCGCGCGGACGTGTCCGTGCACATGAAGGGCCGCTATTGTGCGGGGCCCGGCTAACTGAGCCTATCAAACCCGAGCGATGCACAAAAGCAAAAGCGTTCTGTTCAAACAACGCGCATTCACACACGCGCTCACTCACACACGCAGTCTCTCTGGAACATACACGCGCGCGCGCACACGCGCGTGTTCCCGTCACATGCGTTTACGTCCCACTCGAGGCGTGCCGTACATGAGCAATGCCCTCGGTTACGTAAATCCCCACAGTCTCAACACCCTTCCCCACCGCCAGTATGTACTTCCTCTTCACGTACACGCAGTCTGTGCACGGCCGGGGCCCGGGCTCTTACGCTATAAATAGCCAATAATTGGCCCTCGCTGGGGTCAAAGGTTGCAGCCGCTGGTGG